AGTGGGGGCCAGGGGGGAGGACATTAGGTCCCCCCCTTATTCCAATTTAGGGCCCCCACCTGCCGCTCAGGGGTGGGGGCCAGGGGGGAGGCCATTAGGTCCCCCCCCTTATTTTACTATAGGGCCCCCACCCACCGCTCAGGGGTGGAGGCCAGGGGGAAGGACATTAGGTCCACCCCCTTATTAGTATTTATGGCCCCCACACGCCGCTCAGGGGTGTGGGCCAGGGGGGAGGACATTAGGTTCCCACCCTTATTTTACTGTAGGGCCCCCACCCACCGCTCAGGGGTGGGGGCCAGGGGGAAGGACATTAGGTCCCCCCCTTATTCCAATTTAGGGCCCCCGTCCGCCGCTTAGGGGTGGGGGCCAGGGGGGAGGACATTAGGTCCCCCCCCTTATTTTACTTTAGTCCCAAACCCCTAGTCACCTGGGGGGGTAACATTTTTATTTAGGGCCACCACCCGCTTTTTCTGTTATTTTGTCCTATTTGTTGTTTGCTTCACAATAAAAGAAAACAAAAAAACATCTTCAAAGTTGTGGGCATGTTCTGTAAATTAAATGATGCAAATCCTCAAACAATCCATGTTAATTCCACACGAAAAATGCCAAGGGGGGTGAATACGTTTGCAAGGCACTGTATGCTGGAGAAGCATTTCTTATGTTTCTCGATGAGTTGCAGAAGGCGGGCCTGCTCTGGGTTAGCGTGCCTGACGCATCTGTGAGCTGTGTAGAGCTAACGGAAGCGGAAGAAAACCTCCCTGGATATCGGCGTAAGAGCCAGGGAATTATTTCTGCCCCCTAATATAAAAGAGACCTTTTTTGTTGAAAACCAAATAGAAAGTTTACTGGCTCCAGAGACGAGCATGCTGAAGTGCTTTATTTATCTGGGCTATTCCTTTAAACCTGTGCACCAATGCTTTCTTCCTTATTAGCAATATTCCAATAAACTAATGATAATGTAGCTAATTAAAGAAAATCTCTAAAGAACATAAAATCTAATCATCAGTTAATGGATCGACTCCCTACCGGTTTGTGACTAATAGCACCAGAGTAAAACATAAGAATAAAATGCCTGTGGCATAATGGCCACCATCCTTAGTGCCCACGAAATACGCAGGAAATATTTTTTCCACCCAAACAAAGACATATTGAGAAAACAACATTGAAAATCCATTTGCTCCCGGGCCCATTAGTCAATTTATGATTGTTTGGAACACCGTAGCTTGTGGACAGTTGGACTAAGGTCCCTCCCGGATGATAATACAATTTTCCAAATGACTCTTTTTTTTAATGCGACTCAGCGACTCATGCTGATTCAATGAAACCTGCTTTAAACCCGGATGAGAAAAGCTCGTAGAACTAACCGTCACTGGGGAACTTGCTAATTAACTGAAAATATATTGTTGTAGAGTACATTACTAAACAAAACCCAGTAATACTGCTCCTAAAATGAGTTGTTCGGTAATGTTTTATATCTCCTTTAATTACCTTCCAAGTTAATCATAAAAATCCTAACAAACCTAAATGCAACGTGGTAAGAGGAACTCAGTGCCATCAAAAATATGGTATTGTAATTAATTAATATCAAACCGAGCTTTTATGCTTGGTGGGGGGGGGGGAATGTGTTATCCATCCATTATGTAATGAATTATAGACGGGAGCTTAAAAAGAGGGGACTGAACATTCAGCCAAAACTTACAGAATACTCCATCTTTGATTTGGCCCCTGTATTTTTTAATCCAGTAGTTTATGTGCTAAAATATAGAAAAATATATACATAAATTCAAATAAAAAAGAATACAAATGATGCACACATTTAAAATTCCTGCATTTGCTACAAAGGGTCAAATTGACGCTAATAAAAACAAAACGTCTGGTATATTTTTTGTGTAGTGTTAGTGATAAACATGGAGCAAATAAATGTATTGTTTTAAAATAAATTAACGAAAAATCCAACCAGCATAACTAACTATAACCTAACCTTGACTGTGTTTGTGTCTGGGATACTTTCGACTTTTAATGTCTAATAAGCTGAATATAAGTTAAAATGAAAATACAAATTTCGATGTAAATTTGATTCTCTTTAATTATAAAAATGTCCAATTCTTGGTAATTCTGTGTAACACCCAGGGGATCCTGACACGGATCTCCCAGCATGGTAAACATGTCTTGCCTGGGGCAGTTCACTTTAGAAACCAGGACTGGCCATGAGGTTTTATGCCCAATTTGAATGTGAGCACTGTCTGCAGGATAAAGGAAATAAAAACCATTTCTGTTCTGTCTGCAGTAAATACGTCGCTGATAACTGTGCTAGTCTCGGAGAGAAAGTACCCCAATTAAAGCTTAAATCTGGAGGTGTTGCGGATCTATATGTTAAGCTCTAACCACTAATAAGACAGTGAGACAGCATCGAGACTCACAAAATCCCACACATTCTAAATCTTATCCATATTTTGCTGTGAAACCTGGAGGATTTAACAAAAGGCTCATTTTAATGTGTTGAGCGTTTTTAGAAATTGTGGTGGTATATACTGTCACTATTTCTATTCTACTTGTAAAACCATGGGTTGGCAGATCATCATGTGAGATGTAGTTTTGCAGGAAATAAAGAGCTAATTGTTGGCTAACTGTAGAGGAATGTTTGTTCTACGGATTTTCTCATTATTGCTGTGGAGCTCTGTGATATAACCATACACACTGCACATTACTGTGAGTTTTATTGCTGTGGAGCTCTGTGATATAACCATACACACTGCACATTACTGTGAGTTTTATTGCTGTGGAGCTCTGTGATATAACCATACACACTGCCCATTACTGTGAGTTTTATTGCCGTGGAGCTGTGATATAACCATACACACTGCACATTACTGTGAGTTTTATTGCCGTGGAGCACTGTGATATATCCATACACACTGCACATTACTGTGAGTTTTATTGCCGTGGAGCTCTCTGATACCCTCATACACACTGCCCATTACTGTGAGTTTTATTGCCGTGGAGCTCTGTGATACACATACACACTGCACATTACTGTGAGTTTTATTGCTGTGGAGCTCTGTGATATAACCATACACAATGCACATTACTGTGAGTTTTTTTGCTGTAGAGCTCTGTGATACACTCATACACACTGCACATTAATGTGAGTTTTATTGCCATGGAGCTCTGTGATATAACCATACACACTGCCCATTACTGTGAGTTTTATTGCCGTGGAGCTCTGTGATACCTTCATACGCACTGCCCATTACTGTGAGTTTTATTGCCGTGAAATCCTCTATCATGTTCTGTCCCTCGCAGGACTTATAACAATAGATAAAATATGAATTAGAAATAGCATGATCGATTCCAAACAGGTAATACAGAAAAACTTTATTGAATAAAATAATTTGAAGTGGAGGCCTCACACGGAGGATTTGTACAGAATACCAGTTTGTAAACTCAAAGGTCTTGCAAATAAAAGACTTATGTTGAGAATTTAGAGAATAAGAATTAAAAAAACGTAGCAACCCAAAATATTATATGGTAGTGTTAGAAAAAATACAGCAAACGGACAGATCTGGGGATAGCGGCGAGAACAGGTCCAAAAACAGTGGAATAAATCATCCGCCTCCTCCACACATTTGGAACATCTGGAGAAGTCTGGTAAATACAGTCAGTGTTGAGAATATATTTCTTATTGAAGAACATCTTTTAAAGCATTCAAATACCAAAATAATGATGATGTATATAATAAGCCCTGTGCTCAAACACCCACCACTCCTGAGTAGCAGCCCAGGGATGGATTTGGGATAGCGCGCATGTAACTTTTATTTTTGCTTTTGTATTGATGTATATATGAATGTAAGACAAATATATTACAATTCTCTTACCCAGGAAGAAAAGAATAGAAAAAAAAAAAGACCTGTTTTTCTTACAGTCCGTTTATATACAATAGTCTCTTATAAGCAGGGTGATCTTCCCATTTTTTCATATACAATGTTTTTTATGTGTTTGTACATCGCTATGACATATGTTGGAGCATCATCATTAATATAAACATGGAACTCAATATTGCAAGAAGCAAGGCCTCTGACATTCCAGGAATTTTCAGAAATCTTGCATATTTTAGGACTGTCCTCACAACAGGACAGGCACATGATGTCATGCCCTAAAAGTTTGTTAACACTTCAACACTCTATTAAAAAAACATTCTGTCTCTCAGGCAGGCGACGCAGTGAAGAAACCTGCTTGTTTCATACAAGATAGCCGCGCCGCAGAGCATTCCAAACAGACGTGGTGACAGGGAAGTGGTGGCAACATTTAACACGTCTTTTCCTGGAGGTCCATTTAAATTACGGACATACTTCAGGAGGGCAATCGCCTTTAAGAATTTGCCTTGTTCCCTGAGCAGAGGAAGTGCAAGGATAAAAATATAAGCATTACGTTATTTCGGGGTTATCGACACCACTGACCAAACATTGTCCACCTATCTCTCGAGACACAAGGATGATAAGTGAGAAATAGTTTGTCCTTATTTAAGTTCTCCAGCCTATCTCATTGTTTCTGTAATAACGGATGGATTGCTACATGATCTGTGAAGACTGGGCTGCCGTATAGTTCTCCCCAATTAAGAAAGACTTGCTTACACTTGGTCAAATACTGCCGGGGGTACTTATTCACTAAATAGGGAATTGAAGTCAGCTGAGACCCAAATTGAATATTTTTACAAAACCACACTTTTTTAGGGAATTTGATTTTTTTTCAGTTAATTACAATTCACATTTTACATAATAAACTTGAAAAGTCTATTTCTTAAAGTATGAATGAAAGCAAATACAAAGAGAATTTAAAATGTAAGTTAAATAAGATTAAATTAAAAAAACAACAACGTTATTTACCAAAGTGAATGTCAAAATATCAATAAAGAATCGACGTGCATTCCTTGCACAATTAATCCATTGGGCTTTGAAAAACGTTTGATTTTGTTTATCAGATGATCGATCTGTTTAAATAACCTATTGATACGGTTCGATATCAAATGAATCGACTCATTTAAGGACGAGCACAAAGAATGAACATGTCTAATAAAAAATACGAAGAGGTCAAGTGAAGAACTCAGCATGGACGTATGTGCAAACACAAAACGCAAATTTCAAATTTCCCTTATTCTACATACAACGATAATGAGATAGTTATAGAATGTTGCAAAAAGGACACAAATTTATATTCAAACTTTCACAGATCTCTTTAAAGTCTGTCGATCCAAAATAAATAAATGTAAAAAAAAAATACTAAAAGGAAAACTGGCACCATATTTTATTTTTTATTACAATATTATTATTTATTACAATATTTGCAATATTACTGTAATTCGTGTAATCTGTGTTATGTGTAATTATTATTATTATTATTATTATTATGATATTTATAGAGCGCCGTCAAATTCTGCAGCGCTTTACAATGGGTGGACGAACAGACATGTAGTTGTAACCAGACAAGTTGGACACACAGGAACAGAGGGGTTGAGGGCCCTGCTCAGTGAGTTTACATGCTAGAGGGAGTGGGGTATAGTGACACAGTAACAGAGGGATTGAGGGTCCTGCTCAGTGAGTTTACATGTTAGAGGGAGTGGGGTATAGCGACACAGTAACAGAGGGATTGAGGGCCTGCTCAGTGAGTTTACATGTTAGAGGGAGTGGGGTATAGTGACACAGTAACAGAGGGATTGAGGGCCCTGCTCAGTGAGTTTACATGTTAGAGGAAGTGGGGTATAGTGACACAGTAACAGAGGGATTGAGGGCCCTGCTCAATGAGCTTACATGCTAGCGGGAGTGATGTAATATATATTATATGTAATGTTATATATTGTATGTTATGTGTAATGCGATCTGTGTATATTTTCGAAATGTATGTATTTAAATAATCACTGGATTATAATGCCATGCTAAATATTAACATTAAATTTAAACCCGTAACATCTCTCCATAATAATATACCTAGAGGGGTATCAGGTACACATTGCTGACGAGGTCAATAGAAGAGAGAACTTGACGGCATTTTGGTTATGGACTGCACTCACAGGTGGGATCAGTCTGATGTGCAATAGTATAGGCTCTCTTTTAATGGCACAAGTGACTCCTGAGCTGGGACTAACCGAATAGTAAGCTTTACCCGTCTCTCCCTAATACAATTGCTCTTTTTGATTCTTATGACTCAATAACAGGCTTTCAAATTAACTGATCCAAGTCAACAGCCATGAGGTTAGTCCCAGGTCCCCCAATATATCTAAGGACACCAACCAGTCTACCATAGACAATCTTGAATTTCAAATATCTGGGAGTAGTTAACCCCCTTAAAAATGTCCACCTTATATTGTATTAACATGACACCACTTTTAGCTGAGGTGAGGGATCTCCTCTCTTGATGGACATGTCTTCTATAATCAGTAATAGTACTCAAAATCCTCGACCCTCTGCAGATCTACCCATACTTCTCCCATGCTTAGATGAGAAAGCTGTTCATTAGCTCTTTTTTTATGATTGGTCTGATTTATGATTGGTCTAAATTTCTCGAATTTAAAACTCTATACTCTAGCAGCACACTATTGTCATGCTCTAGATTGGATAAGAGGATCAGGACTATTCACAGTAGTACCCATAGAAACAGACCTGTACCCTAGTGTAGCACTTTCTCAATTGCTACACGGTCCATACACTCCCTTCCAGAGGAAACGCATGACAGTTCTTTATTGGCATCCACCATAAAGTGTGGCAGTTGGTGAGACAGCTCCTAGGGCTGGGCCCAATATCCATAGAGTTCCTGGGAAGCCGCAGGTTATACCAACATACGATTTCCTGAACGACCATGATAAAATCGCCTCTCTCATTTCAGCAAATTAAACATAAATTTCCTGACCTTGATGCTCCCTTCTTCACATCCCTACAGACACCCAATCTGATATGAACTATTCTTCCACATTGCGTCTTGGTGGATTGGGATCATCCCATAGATTATTCACGTACTCAACATGCTACTTCTTCTTACTCAATTAGCTCACTCTATTTCCAAATTTGGCCCAGCTTGGACCATTTGGTCACACAGTCACGGTGGGTTATGCATTTCCCCTTACGAACCCATGAGGTGCTCATAGCAACAGCTGTCAAACTGCTCCATTAGTGGAGCAGACCTTTATCACTGTTTCTGGGGGAGACGTGAGGCTTGGGACATTCTGGAAGCAAGTTGAAAATGATATAACTCAACTATAAGGCAGACCATGGATAGGCAACCTTTGGACTACATCTCCCTTGAGGCTTTGCCAGAATTATGGATGTAATAGCATTATGGGAGATATAATCCACAACATTAAGAGTGCGGAAAGTTGCCTATCCCTTGGGTAGACCATTTTGTATTTTTCAACAACACTCCGGGTACCAGCAGAAGATTCAGGACATGTTCCTAAAATAGTCCACAGGATCCTGGCTGAGGCACCTAAATGTATATTACACCACTGGATCATCCCTCCCCCCTCCGTTATCATTGCTTCACACAAAAGTGTCCTTCCTATTTCACATGGATTGTATTAAAGTCTTAGTATAACAAAAAAAAAACTTGATGAAAGGATTCTCTTTTACCTGGCAACGTTACATTAACTCTTCGGATAGGTCTGTTCCATCCAAACTGAAATCTACTTGTGAATTCACGGACCGGACTAGGGAGCGGGCCAACCCCCCATTATTTAATAATACAAACCTCGTAAAGCTGGGCAATCCAGATCTATTACCCCTGGTGTGGCTTCAATTTTACATGACTCGTAAAAGAGAGCACTGTCCTCCTCCTTGCTAATTTAATATGAGATATTCCTGACAGTCTCTTGCCTGTCCTTTCTGCATGACTCACGATAATAAAATAGCTCAAATCTAATTAAAATTTAAAATAAATCAGAGCATCACGTGGAAAGAAGGGTAACAAGTTATAGGCGATTCTCAATGTTTTATTCTATGGTGTAATTTCTAAAAAAGTGAGAAGTTTCCAATTGTTCTGCGAAAAGAGGAAAAACTCCTTCTCGACCCAAGAGTGTCATTTGGATTTCTCTCGGGAACAACTAGTGGTTAATATGATGATTGCATTTGTGTGCATTCTACTGAAGTTATCCCCCAGCAAGCCGTGTAATGATATACGTATATAATGGATAATATTTCTGCAGAATGGCTCCGGCTATGCCATAAACAGACACATTTCATTTTTAATGAATCTTTCTGTTTAACAAATTTAAGTCTAAACAGAGAGAACAGATAAACTACCCTTAGGAATTTCAAATTGTGATGAACTCCCAGTGAATCACAGAATATAATTTAATTACAAGCCTGGAGAGTGGCATATCTTCATTACTCTATAATCTGAGACGATGTTTCATTACAGTCAGCAGCTAATATGTTGTGTAATGAAATTATTGTTCTGTTGGTTCTCCATCCCTTTGTGCATCACTTGTTCGATTACAGGAACGTCTGAAAGGACAATGGCAATATTAATACAATCCTGTGTATCAGGTGCTGACTTCCAATTATTAACCTGGATATACATGAGATATAAATGCATTGCAATTTGCTTGAAAGGGGCAATGTTACATATTTATTTTCTTATCGGGAATTAGTGAAGCAAATGCTTCCTGATGCTCATTAATGCTCACTCGCATAGTTTGGCACAAGTTCTCTAAATTAACTTACCATTCAAAGAATTGTTACTGTGGAGTGAGCGTGCTGCTATAGGGGGTGTGGGGAGCTGCAGTGAGTGTGCTGCTCAGGTAGTGTGTGTTATAGGAGGTGTGGGGAGCTGCAGTGAGTGTGCTGCTCATGTAGTGTGTGTTATAGGAGGTGTGGAGAGCTGCAGTGAGTGTGCTGCTCAGCTAGTGTGTGTTATAGGAGGTGTGGGGAGCTGCAGTGAGTGTGCTGCTCAGGTAGTGTGGTGTTATAGGAGGTGTGGGAGCTGCAGTGAGCGTGCTGCTCAGGTAGTGTGTGTTATAGGAGGTGTGGAGGAGCTGCAGTTAGTGTGCTGCTCAGGTAGTGTGTGTTATAGGAGGTGTGGGGAGCTGCAGTGAGCGGGTTGCTCAGGTAGTGTGGGTTATAGGGGGTGTGGGGAGCTGCAGTGAGCGTGCTGCTCAGGTAATTTGTGTTATAGGAGGTGTGGGGAGCTGCAGTGAGCTTGCTGCTCAGGTAGTGTGTGTTATAGGAGGTGTGGGGAGCTGCAGTGAGCGTGCTGCTCAGGTAGTGTGTGTTATAGGAGGTGTGGGGAGCTGCAGTGAGCGTGCTGCTCAGGTAGTGTGGGTTATAGGAAGTGTGGGGAACGGCAGTGTGGGTTATAGGAGGTGTGGAGAGCTGCAGTGAGCGTGCGGCTCAGGTAGTGTGTGTTATAGGAGGTGTGGGAGCTGCAGTGAGCATGTGGCTCAGGTAGTGTGGGTTATAGGAGGTGTGGAGAGCTGCAGTGAGCATGTGGCTCAGGTGGTGTGGGTTACAGGAGGTGTGGGGAGCTGCAGTGAGCATGATGCTCAGGTAGTGTGTGTTATAGGAGGTGTGGGGAGCTGCAGTGAGTGTGCTGCTCAGGTAACGTGTGTTATAGGAGGTGTGGGGAGCTGCAGTGAGTGTGCTGCTCAGGTAGTGTGTGTTATAGGAGGTGTGGGGAGCTGCAGTGAGCGTGCTGCTCAGGTAGTGTGGGTTATAGGGGGTGTGGGGAGCTGCAGTGAGCTTGCTGCTCAGGTAGTGTGTGTTATAGGACGTGTGGGGAGCTGCAGTGAGCATGCTGCTCAGGTAGTGTGGGTTATAGGAGGTGTGGGAGCTGCAGTGAGCTTGCTGCTCAGGTAGTGTGTGTTATAGGGGTGTGGGGAGCTGCAGTGAGCGTGCTGCTCAGGTAGTGTGTGTTATAGGAGGTGTGAGGAGCTGCAGTGAGTGTGCTGCTCAGGTAGTGTGGGTTATAGGAGGTGTGGGGAGCTGAAGTGAGCTTGCTGCTCAGGTAGTGTGTGTAATAGGAGGTATGGGGAGCTGCAGTGAGCATGCTGCTCAGGTAGTGTGTGTTATAGGAGGTGTGGGGAGCTGCAGTGAGCATGCTGCTCAGGTAGTGTGGGTTATAGGAGGTGTGGGGAGCTGCAGTGAGCGTGCTGCTCAGGTAGTGTGGGTTATAGGAGGTGTGGGGAGCTGCAGTGATTGTGCTGTTCAGGTAGTGTGTGTCATAGGAGGTGTGGGGAGCTGCAGTGAGCGTGCTGCTCAGGTAGTGT